CCCCTCCCCCCCTCAAGGTCTGGATCCGCCACTGCTAGTAATGGACAAGAAAGCAATACAGCTACCTTGGCTCATCAATAACACGCTCAATTGTCTCAAACAACTGTTGGGCATCAGCGCTTTTCCAATCCACAGCTAACCCAAGGCCAACATGTTCTACTTTCTTTGCATTAGTATGCTGGTCTATAAACAAAGGAAACGCCACCACAGGGACACCATGATACGCCGACTCGTAAAGACTGTTGTGTCCCACATGGGAGACAAAAGCTTTGATGTTCTTGTGAGCCAAAAGATCATTTTGAGGCAACCAGTCCACTGCTCTGATGTTTTTGCCAAGGAATGATGGAATGTAACCTGCAGGAGAAGAGAGAGACTGGTGTCAACTGTGTTGCTCACCCCAGTCAGTCCAGTGGACTCGAGGTCGGGTTCGATTGAACACTATTAAATGAATCTGTCGAATTGAACCTTTTGGGCGACGTTACATAAACTGTTATCAGTTTGAATGCTACAGACTACTTGTGCATAGTAAAAGTTTGTTTAATCAGACTCCTTAGTTTTATACTAATCGTATCTTTTTGGTACGCTTCTGTGACATACCAAGCGAGTGAGACGTAGTCGAGCCAAAATATCCATGGCGAGACCAAACAAGCCTAATATGTCACCGAAGCATATCAAAAATGTTCGATTAGGTATTTACCATACCCAAAATTGGAGAAATCTAGAAACTCCGGTTCCATTTAAGAAACAAAATGTTTCAGGGCTATCGGAAAACATCCCAGTTAGTTGACGAGCGCTCGTTAGGTCAGTTTTGGCCGGATAGTTTTGTCACTGAACAAAAACGCTCAAAATTAAATTGCGAGCTTATTATTTTCGTAAATTCTCTTTTCAATTTGACTCGCGGAAAAATCACGTTACTTGAAAGTGACCATGACGTAATAGCCCTATTAGGTCAATGACTTGATTGCAGAATAACACTGAGGACAGTAGACACGAATTCTGATTGGTTAGTTGCGAATTTGGTTACGGCAGGCACAAGCATAAGCATAACGAGCGGCGACGCCCACAACACAAGCCATTCTCGTCCTCAGTGCTACTTGTCTTAAACGGAGGCTCTGGGGACGAGAATGAACACAAGCATAAGCACGTACGCATGCGCTGACAAGAGAAATTGCCTTATTTTCGGTTCCATACCTCCTCGATACAGTAAACCAAGATGGCGGACGCAAAGCGTTCTCACTTGACATAAGAGTAAGGAAAAGCATAAGAAGACCTATTTTTCTGCTTGTCCTTGTGCTTATCCACAAGATAGCCACTAATTTTTATTAATTATTCATAACGTGCTTTACTTCACTATTACCTTTAATTCTCCACACAACTCGCTGTTTCAGTTTCCCAAACGCTGTAGCTAACATGTCTACCACTGGCTTTTCAAGATTTGAAGCCACGTTTGACCCAAAAGAAACGATAATGAAACCATGACCTCCTGAACTGCTGACAAATTCTTCTAAATCAGGAGGGAGAGGTTTAGGATCTTTGACATGTGGTGGTCCAACCATAACATTGCCTGTTGAATATAATCCCAACAGAAACATTGACAACACTAACGTAACGATTCGTAATTTGTCATTTTCAATATCCCTGAACAGTGTGTTCCCTATTTCCACCCTCCTTACAGCATACCCCCGTCTGCACCCACCTTTAAGAGTACCACCCGTCTCCACCCTCTTTACAGTGTACTCCCCGTCTTCATCCTCCTTACAGTGTGCCCGCGTCTCCACCTTCCTTACAGTCTGCCTGCCGTCTCACCTTCCCTTACAGTGTGCCCCTCGTCTCCACCCTCCTTAAAGTCTACCTTTCCTTACAGTGTCGCCCTTGTCTCCACCCTCCTTATATTGTGTCCCCCGTCTCCACCCTCCCACAGTGTTACCCCCGTCTCCACCCTCCTTGCTTCCGTTCTTCCTACCTGGTAACAGAGGTTGTGCGTATTCCAAGGCAAAATCTGCTGTACTGATAAGAAGTTCAGCGTTACCAACAGCTTCCTGGATGCTTCTTTCTGGGTTAATGTTGTACTTGACTTTCAGAGCATTCATTGGTCTGTAATTCACAAGATACATGAACAGCTTTCCTCCGAGGTACGCTCCCAAGTTCATTACACGTTCCATAAAATTCATTTTATCGGAAAATCCCGTAAAAAGTTGTGGCACATAAGAGACAGGCATTGGTACCATGTGGCTAAACACAAACGGTACGGTTAGTGGAAGAGGCAGAATTTCCACTCTTGGAATGTCAAAGCGTTCACCGAGCATTGTTGCAGGGCAATCTGCAAGACAGTCATAAACTATGACATCGACACCTTTCAGTTCCTCCTGTAACTCCGTGCTCTGTAAAAAACGTTCACACATGGTAATCCGTACCTCACCCATTTTCAGCACGTAATTTAACTTGCTTCCTTCAATTTCAAGTCGCGCCAAGCCATATTCGAAGAACTCTGACTTGTATGGTACTTGGTAAATCTTGTGCTCCACTTTCTCACTCGGTTTAATTTTAATGGACGAGGGAACAACCAAAACAACCTAAAAGGCAGAAACACAACACACTAATCAGCAAAACCGGCTCAGTATAGGAGCCATTATGCATGGGACAGATGTCCCACAGATTTCCTTGTGAGAAAGTGGCCTTCATGGGAAGCCGGTTTTAAAACGGGTAAAATCACTTCTATGTACACTGCCGCTTTAGCATCGGGACGAAATATCCTGACTTTGCCCGCTATCTACATAGTCGCTTCAGAGGAGTTTGGCGCTCTACTGCGATTATTATTACAAGAGAAAAAAATGAATAGGAAAAACTATTTTCATGTCATGCGGCAGTCAATTGCGCTGGATGAGGAGGTTCTTCGATTTCTTTGATTTGCCGACTCATTACCACCATTTTATTCGTTTGTTTTCACGATGAAGTCACGTGAGACGTCGATCGTGACGTAATACTTTTCCCAAGACCGTTGCGCGGTCAACAAAACAAGAAAGAACCCTTTGGGACTAAAAAGGACTAAGGCCCCAGTTATATGGTCTCGGTTACCCAAGACAACCCTTCCCATAAGTTACCCAAGCCGAGGAAAAAACTTTACTCATTTCTTTGCAAAATTCAACCAACCGTTTACAAGAGGATCGCGAACCCGTCTCGGGGGGAGCTGGAGACAACTCGGGTGGGAGAGTTGTCTCGCCTCGGCAGGTAGGGTAGCCCCGGCAGGCGGGTCAACTTCTCTTTATATAAACACTTTGACTCGCCCAACCGAGACAATTCTCGGCGTGGCGATTTTATATTGTCACGAAATGGCTAGGTTTAGGATTTAAAGCAGAAATTCGTATCGAAGATAGTGAAGATTAACTCCGCAAAACACACTTTGATCGAGTGACCGAGGAAAACTCAAGGAAAGAGGGTTAGCTACACATTTGATTATTCAATGAGGGTTATGAATAATCATGCGGGGTCAACTTTGACTCGGACGTTTTCACATATAAACTTAGGGAGTAGGTTGGTTGTCTCGGCTACCCGAGACCATGTAAATGGGGCCCAAGAATTTAATGCCGTGCTAAAATGCACGTCGGTAGGTCACGACAGTAAAATATCAAAGAAATCTCACTTAACTTCTGTAACTCGGTATCACAACACCCATGAAAAGAAAGTTAAAAAACTTAAGCTTAACTCGTTTGTACAAATCGCTTGCTTGTGAAGTTGTTGGGTCATCATGTACAGAGGTCGGTAGATCACGTAAACGTCGACACATGGACAGTGAAGGGTGGCATAAAATTTACACAAGCTTTTCGCCCAAGTTCGACAATTTACGGGGGAAAATTTAAGACAAGGTCAGAATTGTGGACAGCAAGGTGCGTAGAGTCTGACTTCGCTAACCCGTGACCCGTATGCTAAGAATTCACTTTGGATGCATACAGTACCTCATGCCCCTTGGAGGCAAGCTCTGCCATTATTTGTCTCATAGTACTGTACTGTGACCCTCCGACTGACCAGAAGCCAGCAATCCGTGCTGAGGAAGCCGTGTTGACTGCCAGTGAAAGAAGGAGCAACGACAACAACGCCATCTTGGCTGTAAACAGGCAACTCAGGAAGGTACTAAATTACCATATTATATTTAAATGAATTATTTACTTTCGTCACTCTAAAGATTGCGTGACTAGAACTCTAGCACACATTTCGATACAACGTCGTTCCCAGGCCTATCTCTGTTTTTCTCGTAAAATGCTGGAAAGTTGCTCACTGGAATGTCAAAACGTTTCTAAAACATTGCCAAAAATCCAATAACTTGCTACCTAAATTTCAAACGCTGTTGCTTAAATTTCATGATATTCAGTTTGTATAAACGTTAATAAAAAGATTTATTTTTCTTTCTTCGCAGTAAGAGCTAACATCGGTCAAGGAAAATAGCTTGAAACTTAGCGAAATTTAAGGACACTCTCACTTCTAACCATAGTTAACAGAGGGAAATGGTTAGGAAACCTGGCAAAGTTCTTCGCTTTATGTTTTTGTTCGCTCTTTGGAGTTGACCCTGCACAAAACCTGCCAAAATACAAAAGGTGGTTATGTGTGCTCATACAACTAACCAATAGAAGCAAAACGGTTATGTAATTCATGCATAGTCAATGAGCATAAAACAAAGGATGGGCAGGGTCAACTAAGGGGCGTTCCATCATAAATCTTAGCCTGTTTGTTTGCTTCTTTGATGTTTATCGGCCTTCCTAATCATTTTCCTCTATAAACTATGGTCTAATGGAACAAAACAATAGGCCTGTGAAGCGTTGTCAAGTAACAGGTTTTGTGTTCTATATACTTCAAAAAGTTGATAAACATTCAAGGAATTCGCATAAATTGAAGTTTTCTATGAAATCGTTGACTTTTTCAAGCTTGATATGTCCTCTGAACCTATAGTTTGCTCAAAACTTGCTCGAGGTTGCTAGAACCGCAAAAAGTTGCTTCAAACGCCAAAAGTTGCTCAAAAGGTTGCCGAGCACAATCGGAACATGCCAAGTTGTTCCTGTACGAACAACAAGAATGGTGTTTTTCTCACTGCTTAGGCTTTTATTAGCGTTCAACTCAGCTTTACCGGCACGCTTGCTGGTTTCTGTGCCACTGAAGGCTCACGGTATATTAATACAAGGCCTACAATGAGAGATCATCCAATATTTATTAAAAACAATAATACAAGTTACTGATATCAAACACAGTAATGAGGAAGAGATAAGAAGGGTGAAACAAATCAATAACTGATGAGGTAATAGGCCGGACTCGAGCGGATCGACCTAAATCGAACCTACCGTATTTTATTATTTTTTCTTCGAGTGCACCCTCAAAGATATTTTGACATCCAAAATTAATGGCGTTTCGTCCTGACCTTAATGGCGTTTCGTCCTAAGCGATAAGACCTTTTCATATGGAGTCCTCCCCAGGGCATAGTGGCTCCTGTAAAGTGGTAATGGGAATTAGTGTGTTGTGTTTCTGCCTTTTAGGCTTTTTTGGTTGTTCCCTCGACCGCTAAAATTAAACCGAGTGAGAAAGTAGAGCACAAGATTTACCAAGTACCCTAAGTCAGAGTTCTTTGAACATGGCGCGGCACGGCGTGAAACTGAAGGAAGCAAGTTACAGTTAATGACGAAAATGGGTGAGGTACAGATTACCATGTGTGAACGTTTTTTACAGAGCACGGAGTTACAGGAGAAACTGAGAGGTGTCGATATCATTGTTTATGACTGTCTTGCAGCTTGCCCTGCAACAATGTTTGGTGAACGCTTTGACATTCCAAGAGTGGAAATTCTGCCTCTTCCATTAACTGCAGATTTTGTGTTTATCCACATGGTACCAATGCCTGTACCTTATGTTCCAATGCTCTTAACAGGATTTTCCGATAAAATGAATTTTATGGAACGTGTGATGAATTTGGGAGCGTACTTCGGAGTAAAGCTGTTCATGTATCTTGTGTATTACAGACCAATGAATGCAGTGAAAGTCAGTTATAACATTAACTCAGAAAGAACCTTCCAGGGAGCTCTTGGTAATGCTGAACTTGTTATCAGTACAGCAGATTTTGCCTTGGAATGCGCACAACCTCTGTTGCCAGGTAAGAGAAAGGGAAGTTATGAGGGTGGAGATGTGGGGAACACACTGTTAGGGGGGTAGAGACAGGGGACACACTGTTGGGAGGTTGGAGATGGGAGGGCCAAACTGTTAAGAGGGTGGAGACAGAGGGCATTGTTCAAAATGAGTAATTATGAATCATTATAGTTTTAATGTTTCTGTTGGGGGTATATTCAACAGGCAATGTTATGGTTGGATCGCCGAATGTCAAAGATCCTAAGCCTCTCCCTCCTGATTTAGAAGAATTTGTCAGTAATTCAGGGGGCCATGGTTTTATCATCGTTTCTTTTGGATCAAACGTGGCTTCAAATCTCCAAAAGCCGGTGGTAGACATGTTAACTACAGCGTTTGGGAAACTGAAACAGCGAGTTGTGTGGAGAATTAAAGGTAATTAAAATAGTGAGTAAAGCATAGGAGCTACTTGCAATAATCAATAATTAAAGATGTCAGTTTGCATCTCATGGCCTTCATTAGAGTGAGCAACATCGTTGACACCATTCTCTCTCTTCTCCTGCAGGTTACATTCCATCATTCCTTAGTAAAAACATCAGAGCAGTTGACTGGTTACCTCAGAGTGATCTTTTGGCTCACAAGGACATCAAAGCTTTTGTCTCCCATGTGGGACACAGCAGTCTTTACGAGTCGGCGTATCATAGTGTCCCTGTGGTGGCGTTTCCGTTGTACATAGACCAGCAAAGTAATGCAAAGAAAGCAGAACATGTTGGCCTTGGGTTAGCTGTGAATTATAAAAGCATTAATGCCCAACAATTGTTTGAGACAATCGAGCGTGTTATTGATAAACCAAGGTAGCTGTATCGATTACTTGTCTACTTTAGTGTCGACATTCGGACAACATTGCCCAAATTATTTGCCTAACTACACGTTAGGATAAGTAAGGGATGAGTATCTTGAAACTTTCTGCGATCTTTAGGTTTAAGAGCAAAGCAATGCACATCTCTGGCCTGTTAAAGGATCGTCGACAAACACCTCTTCAAGAAATCTGTGACTGGATAGAGTATGTACTCAGACATGGTGGAGCCCTGCACCTCAGAGCTCAAGTGTTCAACATCCCTTGGTATCAGTTCTACTTACTTGACGTCATGGCTTTTCTTGTTGCTGTGGTTGTCATGGTTGTGATGGTGATACGTTTGGCATGTCGATGCCTGTGTCGTGTGTTCTGTAAAAAGGATGATATCAAAACCAAAAAGGAGTGAGACATGGAAACATATAAGTGCTTTTGTTTCCTCCCAAACAAACTATAAAGTGATCTTGCGTTAGGTTCACTGTACTCAGAACTTGATTTTTCCACGGCGTGAACAATATTTTAATTCAGTTGACTTGTTTTTTTTTCCATATTGGAAATTCGTTTGTCATTTCATTAAAAAGCATATGACCTTGATGCAGTTCTTTTTTCAACTCTTCTGCAATTAAGGATTTCCTCTTATTGATTATAATCCATCAAAAATTTTCGCTCTCGCGCGATTGGTCTAAACGCATCACGTGACTGAATAAGTCCCAGCTAAAACTGGGGAATCTATGAGAGCGATATTGTTCAATTTTTAAAACTGCGCGTGTTGCAAAAAGTAATTGAAGGATAATAAACACGATAGTCTCCATTTGGCGCGAAAATATGCTCGGATAAATGTTCGCCGACATTATTTGTTCCAAGAAGCGAACAGTTTTCCGAGCATCTTTTCTCGCCAAATGGAGACTGTTGTTTATATATGCAAAAATGCTGGTACTCATGTTTTCCGATGTTTCTTGTGTTTTCCGGCAAGAATGAGCCACCTCGTGTCAATATTTTTTGCATTTCGTTTCTTACACCCCATCCACACTACACCGGAGAGATTTGAAAATGGAAAATGGAAAACGCATCGAATGTTTTTCTGTCCACACTACGTCGGAGGAATTTTTTAAAAAATGCAACAATCACCGTAACGGTCATTTTGGATTCGTGTTTGCGGAAAACTCGGTCTGGGAAATCACATGATTCAGTGATGATTATCGTGACTATACGTCGTTTTCAGAAATCTCAGTTTTTAAACTAAATAAGAAACGCCGGCGTTTTCAAATTCCTCCGGTTTGAAGAGCGTTGTTGAAAAGCTCCGTTTTCTTGACGGATTAGTGTGGACGGTAGGCTTAACCGTAGAGATAAATTTACGATTTCAAGTTTCTCCGACGTAGTGTGGTCAATGCCTTGCAGCACCCGTAAAGCACTATCTATGAAACAAGATGAGAGTTCTTTCCGATAATTTTTAACTGAAGCATAATGAATGGCTGATTTTCAACTGTATATATTAAAATATTTAAAACTGTTCTCAAAATGATTGACATTTTAAATTCCATATCATTTTGAATATAATAACCAAACTGTCATTCCAAATATTTTGACTTTATAATTGACGTTTGTCCTGATAGTTTTTCACGTTTCTCAAGTATACGTATACCTACCGTGTACATACAAAAAAAAAGTTCAAATGTAGAAAAATTTCGCTTTAAACAGGGAGCTTAAGGTGGGCCCTTCTTATTCAAATAAGCCTTCTTTGCGGGAGTAGGTTTGTTGTATTTCGTATTATTTAAATCATACGTTTGACATCTTTGCAAAACACAGGCTAATCAGTCTACGGATTTGCATATTACAGTGTACGCATGTGTCGAAAGCCATATGTTTCATATTGTGAATTGGAGAAAAACTATACGACATAATTTTGCGAACCAGCGGCGGCGGTCGAACACGAAGATGCTTCGTCCGGATAACTTAGGCTTAAATTTGGAAATTCATCCTGACGCGTTGGTAATGAATCAAGCGAGCAGAGCGGGAAAGACTCCTGAGGAAAGTCGAATTTTGAAAGCCAAAGATTACAAGCTACCTGTATTTACAAGATACCGTGAAGGTACCTGCAAAGAAATGTTTCATTTCGTTCAAGTTGTTGCTCCGAAGTTCGGCTCGGCCGCGCACCCGGAAGAAAGCAGCGAGACTGAAAAACGTACCATGGAAAAAATCGTGAGCGCTCTTAACAACATGAAACCTAAACCGAGGTTTTTACTGGTGCAGGGAAATTATACAAATGCGAAGCCGAACGAGAAAGAATATTTTCCACAGCTAGAGAGTTTTAAGTCCGCGTTTGAGAATTTAAGCGCGGAAATTCCGGTTGTGTGTGTCTGTGGTCCGACTGACTGCGGTGATCCACCGACCTTAGGTAGCCTTGAGACATATCGTAATACCTTTGGCGATGACTGGTTTGCTTTTTGGGTAGAGGGTGTTCAATTTTTAGCCGTGAACACGGCGTTTTACAAACACTCCAGCGCCGAGACGGAAAATTTGAAGGCAGAACAACAAGAATGGCTGGAATCAAAGCTGTTGGAATCCCAGGTGAACCCACCCAAGCAAATAATTATTTTACAAACTATACCCTGGTTTAGAAAATCCATTGACGAAGAGAACGATTTGGGAAACATTGATTCTAGCGACAGACAAGAAATCGCCCCGAAACTTGTTGAAGCCAACGCGAAATACGTTTTCGCCGGTTTCTTGAATGGCGTCGGGAAGGACAAAGAATTAGAGATCATTCAAACGAGTTCTTTGGGAAAGTCAGATGAAGTAGAAAGTCAAGGTTTTCGTGTCGTTAAAGTTAAACCGAATGGCCGAGTTGAACATAAATTTTTCGCCCTGGACAACTCCCCTATCGATCTAAATTTAGAATTGTAATATTTATTGGTTCAAATCTTTCCAGCTGCAGGTTCTCCAGTGACCTCCAGTTAGATCTCAGAATTTTAAGATTTTAAAATAAGTACTGTTGTTGTCATAAGCGGAGTGAAGGAATTATAACTAGAAAATTTGTGAAGCCGGGAAATGTTTGGCGACAAGAATTTGAAAATCACTCTGAGAAATGATTCGGATCAATGAATCGTTGAAAGAGAAAACACTTTAGTCAAATATTTGATGGCGGATGCTGTCAGCTAGTATTAAATAAACCTAAACACTACAAGAACTCGATTTGTATTTATTTAAAAACTGAGTGAACTTCTAAAAAAAATGTACCACGGAGATTACAGTAGAAGAGATCAACTCAGCGCTTTTCTATTAAGCATTGAAATCAAACAACAGAAATTTTCCATATTCCGGCTTCGTGGCATCTTGAATAATCAGAATCATAGAGGGTTTCTGATTTGCCTTGGTAATTTTTTACTTCAGTGATGCAACTTACAATAGAGTTACCTGTAGAAGCTTTTCAGGTAAAAATTCATTGTTAGCTTACTTTAGATATATAGGAAATTGCTTCGCTGAACTATACACTTTTAATGACCTACATTACACATTTGCTTGCGTGATAATTCTCTTTATCTGCTTGCTTCGGGCAATTTCCTCTGCTGAATTTGTTTCCGCATTTCATTTCGCGAAATCACCATCAACCAAATGTAATTTGAAAACCCTTCCAGCGCCCGCAGCTCGGAATAATAATTCTGGTATTTGATTCTACGTATTTCTTTCAACGGTTAGTTTTGAAAACGCGATGCAACGTTAAGGAACATTGTTGCAGAAACATTGTTTGTGAAAATTTTTTCTTGATGCGCAAATGGAAGAAGCAAGGCGATAATTCTGAAAAAAACTCAGAATCATTTTTACCTCAAGGGAACAAAATTTGCTTACACCATATTTATTGCGAATACGCGCAAATCACGTAAATTTGTTCGAAAAGGTGATTTTCCACAACAATGTTTCGGAAACTGTTTTCTTGTTTGCGGGTTATTTTTGCTGATCGTTTTCATTGTTCTCGCCACCTGCTAGCTGGACACTGCCTCGATATTGTGAGGAGAAATCGCTAGTGGAGCACCGAGTCCTAAATGACCTTTAGCGTTACTTCATCAAGAAAGACGTAATAAAATATCAAAAACATGTGGATATAACGTACTCGCCTTATCTCTCGGAATTTGGTTTATATTAAGATATTTGTGAAGCATTCCAGCATATTTATTTATTTGTTTATTAAGCTTTGGCCTTCTATTACATATAAAGAAAAAGAAAAAAGAAGAGGAAGCAAAAAAAAAAAAAAAAAAAAACAGACAGCAAAACAAAACAGAATTGCCAGGGGAGCCGCTACAGCTTAGCCAATTACAGCGGCTCCCTCATAAGGAGAACTGGTACCTTGCTAAAAAAAATTAAAGAAATCAACTGTAGTAAGACACATAAGAAAGCTTTCCTAAGCAAGATTGAAGGCCCCGTACAGACCGGCTACATACGCCGTGGGAATATGAAAACGGAGGTTCGTGTTTTCCGTCCACACTACGCCGGAGGAATTTAAAAACGCAACAATCACCGGTGATTTTGGATTTGTGTTAGAGGAAAACTCGGTCAGGGAAATCACGTGATTATCGTGACGTCATCGTTTTCGAAAAGCTCCGTTTTCAAAATTTTTTCCGTCCGCACGAAAACGAAAAGCCGGCGTTTTCAAATTCCTTCGGTTTCAAGAGCGTTTTCGAAAAGCTCCGTTTTCGTGACGGATTAGTGTGGACGGTAGGCCTAACCGTAGAAACAAGGCTTTGTTTTCAAATTCCTCCGCCGCAGTGTGGACGGGGCCCAAGTTACTGATCTTTGAAGATGCGCGAAGAGTCGGTCACGCTGAAACCACACTGACAGACTGATTAATAAAGTATGTATGTTTTTGTTTACAGAATACCGTAGGGAAAACGTCTGAAGTCGGCTCAGTTGAAACGAGGACATTTTAGTGCTGTTTCTCAACGAGGATGCTTTTTCGGTTGACAAAAAAAATTGCACGCGTCCTGATCAAAAAAAAAAATATATATATATATATATATCCGATAAACGACGAACAGTCATTGAAAGATAGTGAATATGTGATATCAAACAGAAGGGGTATACTTTCTGTCAGTTGAAAATGAAGGTTACAATTGTTTCTTTTCCAATTACGGCAAGACAGTTGGTGATGTATACACAATGTAAAATATTGCAAAACCTCCTTTTGGACAGGGAAAAACGTTTGTGGTAACGCTTTTTCAGGGGAGTGGAGACAGGTGGTGGCTAAGCACTGATAAGCTCCCATTAGCCTGACTTTCTGGTCAGAAGTTGGTTTTAGGAAACCAAAGCTCTGTATCATAGTTGGTCATGGATTTCACACACTGTCGTGCGGAATTTTGCTCCTAGGTCAACTTGCATAGTCTGCATGGGATTGGAGACGTAAGTTTCCCAATGCACTATTGGCTCACTGTACTTCCCAATTCAGCTCCCGGGTGAGGCCTCCACTCACATCCCACCACGATTTTTGCAGTTCAGTGAGAAGTGCTGGACATCTGGGCTATTAGCAAGCATAAAATCAACCCATCTGGATAATGGGCGTGGCCCAGTTCTTGTTTCTCAGTCATCTTGATCAATGAAGAATTCATTATGTGGCATGAAGGAGGGATATAACAAAGAAATATCTCAGCAAGTTCATTAATAAACTCGGGTTGCTTTTCTGGTCTGTAACGTTACCCACCGGACATTTGTTTTCTAGTGAAATTTCAACTAGTGATAAGATCTCTAAGAGCTGCAGAGTTTAGCCAGTACCTGGCTCTTAGCTTCATCCCTGATTGTGGGACACTGCAGGAAACATAGCCCCATCTTGCCTGCTCAGGTAGCCAATCAAGGATTCGGCCAAATAACATAAAACAATTACAATATTTAGAGAGAGCTACATCCGCCTTAGCTGGTTTTCATGTGGGTTCTCTATCCTGGTTGAACTGGAATTTGGAGATGTTGGTTTTTGTGGAGGGAGGAAAACCAGAGAACCCGGAGAAAAAACCTCGGAGCAACGCAAGAACCATCAACAAACTCAACCCACATATGGCACTGAGCCAGAATTGAACCCGGGAAGGCCAGTGCTCTCACCACTGTGCCATCCTTGCTCCTCAGGTTCTTGCCATATACATGTAGTGAGTATTTTTTATAAAAAGCACTGGCAATAACAGTCATCTCATAATAACACCTGAACACCAGACATTTGGGATCCAATAAACAACACACTGGGGACTATTTATTAGTCTTGTCAAAAAGTTCTTAGTCAATGCATTATGGACAGTTATCAACTTGGGGAACGACTTGGGGACTACAGAGGGTTTTCACGCAATAGCTAAGGTTCTTGTCAAATTACCCTAATGCCTTCTACTTATGATTTTCAAAAATTTTGCATGATGTTAAAGGTTCATGGAAATTAACACACTTAGTCTTCACCTGTCAAGGTTGCAAATTCTGAGCCATCTGAAAGTAAAAGGCATTTGAATACTTATCTTCACAAGACAGTACAGTGGAATCCCAATCTTTCAAACCTCCAAGGGAAGCGAAAATTGGTTTGAAAAATCTAATAGTTCAAGAAATCAGGGGGGGGGGGACATTATAGTGTTTGACTGAGCAGGGGAAACACATTTTTGGTCAAGTTATCGGGACGTTTGAAAAACTGAGGGTTTGAGAAATCGGGATCCAATGTATGTTAATTTAGCACAGTCAGCATTGTTCAGCTATTTCAGAAACAGTCTAGTCCATCCTTGCTTTCAGTGTCCGTGTCGTTATTTTATCTTTCTCTATCACATGCACTATACCACCCCAGCCACTGACAGCATCACGATCCACAGCATTCATCAGCGCCTGTGAGATGGTCTCAAACAGGTCATCAGGCTCCAGATCTGGTTCCCACAGGGATTCGCACATTCCGTACATTTGCTCCGAGCAAGTGCCGCTCACCACGAAATCTTTCGTCTCCATCGGACACCCGATCAGGTCTAAAGCCGCGATGTAAGGCTCGTTGGTCTTCGGGTCTAAACCCGCAATCACGGGCTCCACGAAATATGGCCCGAACCTTCTTTCGTAGAGCAAGTTTGACACCATACTCATGAAAGTTTTAGGCTTGATTTGACGGCTTTCTCGCAGCTCGTACAAATTCTTGCGAAACGTTAGCCGGTTTGAAACGGTTTGCACGTCTGTCGCCAAGCCGGGAAGACCGAGAAACAGCTTATCTCCCATCTGAAAGACTTTCTGAAAGTCGCAAGACAACGTCTGTGCTTGAATTCCCAAGCGACGATCCGCCGCAATGGCGACGCAATCTTTACCAACCATCGCTATGATGGCAGCGCCATTGTATTCCATAATAGACATTTTTCTTCTTCTGTAAGCGTTCCCTCAACTTAGGGAACTTTTTTTTCCTCTTAAAAAGCCTTTTGTCACACGAGCACACCACCAAAACCAAGATGGCGGTTGCTGACTAATTGGAGTGGTTACCAAGTAGGAAATAGAGTGGCTACCAAGTCTAGTTTCTTGAAGTCTGCTGGGAAGGAACAAGCATCGACATAAATAACCTTTACGTACGCTACAAGGAAAGGAGTGTAAATGTAGGGCAATTTTTCGCTGTATTATTCTAGACACAACTGACCATCATGAGTGGATGCTTGGATCAGATGTACTGTCCCGATTTCGAGGTGATTTCGGAGAGGAGGAACTTAATTTCATCAGTTTCTGCTGGAGTTTTGGTAAGCCCTATAAGCTGAAACAAATCTGGTAGCTGCATGTATAAGATTTTTTTAGGCTTATAGAGTTAAACAGACTAACAGATGTCTGTTTAATTTTCGCATTTTAAACCCTTTCCAGTATCATACATTTGTCTACAGAAAGCTTTTTTCATGTTTGTAAACGTTGGTCTTCGTATACTGTCAGTAGCTGTCGATGTTCCATATCGAATTTTATTGCATTTGAATTCACTCTTGAATTGAATCTAGATATCTCAAACCATATAAATCTTGTACAACCATGGGATACTTAAAAACTCACACACGTTGGATTGATCTTGAACTTAATGCTTTTAGTTCAAAGTTAGTTAACGAAACACAGCCACGATATTGAAGCAAAGCGAAAATCTTAAATATCTAGTGTTAATGTAGTGAGGGGAAACAGGGGGCGGGAACCCGGGAGTAAAGGTGGGCGGGGACTCTGTGGGATGTGGGAGAAAACAGGGTGGTAAGAGGGATTTTCAAGGTGGCAGGACCCAGGAGAAATAGAGAAAAATATTGGAAATATTGTGTAACATTTTGCTAATATCAAAGAAGCACAGAGGGATGGGAGCCATTGAGGAAAGGGTGGGAACCGGTAGCAGTGGGTACAGAAGTGCAGACCCTCTTGTTCCCCTCCTCAAGAGTTAAGTGCAGCTATTTAGATAGTTTAGACAAATGATTACATTTAGTGTATGTTAGAAACTTTAGAACCTGCCAAAGACCATATTATGATCCAGATTGCTGCACAAGGTGTTTAGTGTCAGTGCAATATAAGTCAATGCTATACACTTGGATGCAAATCAAATTTTGTGCAAGTTTAAATTCATCCTGGGCTCTACGGTGCTACTCCCTAAATGTGCACTCAGAGATTCGTGAATTGTCTGCCATCTTAAGGACACAGCATGATAACCCCTGATACTCAGCTGCAATCTCTCAATCCAGATCAGTCGGATCATGTGCACTGAAGGCATCCGCAGTTGTGTGTCGATTCATACTCTCAATTGGTACCCACGATCAACATCTTGATCAATGCTCTATTGACATCCCGATTGATACTCGGTCGACACTTGATCAGCAGTAGGTCGATAGTCGGCTGAGTGTTGACTGACTCTTATGAATCAATTGAAAATTAGTCAACTCTTGACTGACTGTTGACCGAGATGTCAATGGAGTGTCAATGGAGTGTCAACTGAGGTGTTGATAGAGTGTCCATGGAGGGTATCGATTGACATTCGACCATGGATGCCTGTAGTACACATGATTCAATCAGTCTGCACTGTTAATCATTGAGCTTTCCTGCTTCATTAAGCACATACTCCCAACTAAAAAAATTTTTTGGTCAACTGATATTTGTCTGAATCAACAGTTTTTCATTGGCTGGTGGATCATGATAGACGCAGCAGCTACAAAAGATTTTGAGCATGCCTACCATACCCCTGGTGTCATATCGTCTTTAGCTGTCTTTATGTAAGTTTTATAATGCCCTCATTTACTCTGTAGCATGGTTCTTGTGTTATTTCTTTTGTAAATTAATGAAATAAGTTAGCAACTGCTCAGAAATTCATACCTCTTACTAACCAGGTTTGAGGTCCATACTGTAAGTTATGGACCAAGTTTTTTCATGGAAGTTTGGGAAAACTTGTAAAGGCTGTGCAAATACTTGCCTGTTCGCTCATGTTCCCACAGCATTTCTTGTTCTCACAAACTTCCACTCGTGTTTCTAACAACTCAATTAAAACATTAGTAATACATGTTTTCTATTTCTTAAATGAAATTGGATTTTTTTCATTAGGGTGAATGCAGTGTCAAATGCACAGGTCAGAGGAGAAATTTACAACACTGGGTGCATTGGACAAACAGGTATAATTATGAGATGCATATTATATTCTGTTCCTTACTTGGATCATCAGTACACATGATGAAGGTCCTCTTTTACCACCAGTTATGGAATATTAACAGGGCCTGGACTGTGTCCTGTCCATGTTCTAGATTGGTTGCTAAGGCAGTAAGGGCCCATATGCACAAAGCAAATTTTTGTTTATTTTGCGAAAAAATCTGTCATCAGTCCTGTGATACAAGTGGGCATGGTGATTTTTTTTCCTACCAAGTTTTGTCAGCTACCCTCTCCAATCTTAAAAGGTGTCGGCATCCTGCTTACTTGTAGGAGCAGGACAAATTTTTGTCAGGTGTGAAAACTGACCTTTTTTTTCAATTCACATGCCATGATTTGAAAGAAAAAAAATGGTTAAGTAAATTTGATCTCTCTTTGATTGTTGACCTCGCTGCGTGGTTGACACTTTGTGGTCAACAAATATTTTATTGTTTTTGAGTGTGCCTACCATTGCCAAAATAATTGTAAATTTTTGTGGAGACAATTTTCGTCGAGATATTTGGTAGAGCTAAGCAAACTTTGTCAGCCTAGTGCTTATGGGCACTCGGCTGCTCTGTATGTTTTTGTAAAAGGGTGACTTATTTTGAAATCCAGCTTTAGTATAAACCAGTTTTGGTTAAACAATCAGCTCAAAACCCATTATTTTCAGATCAGATGCAGATCTCCAGGAATATTAAAATAGTAATACATGCAACACACTTTGCTGAAAACTAAATAAATGTTCTTTTCTGCTGATTGTTTTATGCACATTTTTTCATTGATTCATTTGGTCTTTGCAGGTGCCAGGGTCTGGCTCATAATGGGTTTTGTATTATTGTTTGGGGGTTTGATTGCAGCAAGTTGGATCCTTTTTGGTGCTTATGTTGCTCCAGGTACTGTAATTTTCAGATGTTTTTACATTGATCACCACATAGTTTTTCTTTTTACTTTTGTTAAATCTCTATTGAGACATTTGATTCTCACTTGTGTTATTTTGTTTATAGCTGTTTCAGACCCATGGCCAGGAGTGGCAATCTTTTTGCAGAATGCTTTGATTTTCTTCAGGTTAGTCACCAAATTAGTTGCAAGGTCGAATCTTTGTTTAATCACAGGGTGCCTCAAAGCACTATTTAATTTATTTATTTTTAAGTGGCCTGTATAAAATTAATGGTCTGTGCTTCAACGTTGGGTTGCAAAGTGGGGGAGGGGGGTGGTGGTGTGGGGTGTGGGGGGAGAGGGGGGTAGTAGTAAAATGAGTTCCTTTTGCAAAGTCTAAAATTGAAGCTGGTGGTAGACACCTTAAAGTTTTGTAATTCTTAGTCAGGTCCTTTGTCATGTTTCATTGAAGAATTTTGCAGTATATATGTTGTAGGTCAAAATGAAATTCAGGTTAAAATGAAATTTCTTAATTATTCATGGCTCATGAATAATAAATTATTCACGATCCCTGAATAATCAGGGTTAAGAGTCAAAGGAATTTCATTTTAACCTGAATCTTCTAACCTTAATTACTAGGGTTAGAAGAAAAAGGAAACTGAGAATCAAACTAGGTTAAAATCATTTTAACCTGAATTTCATTTTGACGTACAACATACACGTACTGTATACTTCTATGAATTTACACAATTATATTTTGCCTTCTGTATAAACCCAATGCTCAGTTACTGTAATGGAAACAAATTTACTTAGGCTGAAAATGTGCAGTCCATTTCTTGTGGTTAATAGTACTTAATAAAATGATGCTTTCCTAATGATTTGATCTTTTCATTCACAGTGCAATTGTTTTTAAGTTTGGACGGACAGAAGAAAATTGGTAGAACTTTATTTGGTTTTGAGCTCTTAGTGAAATTTAAATCTGACAGATGCTACAGGACATTTTGTCAAAAGGTTCTGGAGCAGATATTTTTAAGTATTTAAGTTTTTGTACAGTATTTTGTAAGAAAGGGCCAGGGATTTGGTTTTCATTCTAAATTGGCAAATATCTCGATAATAGGCCATTTTCCGAGTTCCCTTGCACTTCTGTTTCAAAACGAGTCTAAGTGCGAAACTATCCTTATGAAAATGACTTTGATTTGCATGAAAATGAACCTGTAGGCGGAACTCATTTTCATATGAATGGTTTCACACTTAGACTCGTTTTGACACAGAGGCAAAAGGCAACTTGGAAATGGCCTATTATTAATTTGCTTCAGAATTAGTTTAATGCAGTTTTTGCCCTGAATAACTGGCTACAGGTTACAGTTGAGTAAAAATAATATGAGCTGTACTGTTAATCAATTTCACTACTCATTGATGGTAAAATGTGTCTTCCAATAACAAAGAGACTTGTTTAACTCGAATACATGGCTTACACAGAACTGTGCATTCTTTAATGCCACCCACCACAATGTGCAGTTGCAGAAAATATCCATATCCCCTCACAGAAGATATAGGAATTTTCTGGGGGTGGGGGTTCTCTAAGATCAAAAAATTTAAAGAAATGTATGAACCTTAATTAGAATCTCCTGAGGGATGGGGTGTCTTGGAAAAAGTCCCTTCTGTTGGGGAGGTAGGGATATTTTCTAGAATAAACACTGTCAGTAGTAAATTTGATGGGCTGAAGATAAGTTAAGATAAGATAACACCCAGAGTAAAATCAGGCATTTTCTTGTCATGTATAGCAGTACTTGCTAATTGAGTCCCAGCACATAGTAGAAGTACATTGTACAGTCACACCAGTACGTATTATACACCAGTATTATAAAGAATGATTTGCATGTTTTATTAAACAGCTTTAGGTCAGTAGTTACCGACAGTATTTGCCGATAGTGAAGAACTTGTCTGTTTATTGTATGCTAATATAATTATTGGAACAAATATACAAAACTGTTGCTTTTACTACACATAAAGTAATTTGATTGATTGGTCTTAATAACCATAGACAAATCTTAACATGTCTTTAAAAATAAATTTGTTCTGCTGTGATATCTTATGATTTTAACCGATAAACAACAACCACAGCCAGCTACTTTCTTACAACTGATGTGAAATGAAGAACTGTAACCTGTTGTTAGAGATTTTAAGTTATGTTATATATTATTGCTGCGTGTTTCCAATTGGGGCAGAAATAACACACCAAAACCATTGGAACTCGCCATTTCTTAAGCTAAGTATCTTTGGTAAACATTGTCTTGCTAATAAGTAAAATTAACCTTTTCATGATCAGCTGAAGCAAGGTACATTTGAACATAAGATTTAAGGTTCAACCCTGACTTAAACAGCTCAAGATCTTTTCCTTCAGTAGCAAAGGAAAAGAAGTTATTTAATCAGCTACAGCAAGAGAGTTCAGTCTTGTGCCTTGAACCTAAATGCTAGGTGGGAACCAACGATAAATCCTGACGATGCCATCGTCACCTCCAGTGACAAGGGAAGGACCTTCGCCATCATCATCAAGACAAACTGCATTGACAGGATCATGATATCCATGCAGCACATGGTGAACCTTGGTGAACTGAAACAGAAATAATGTATTGTGTGGTCAGTGTTCGTTTTGGTTTCACGAAGGAAATTACAGGACCAGATTTATAATACCACCGACTGAAAAACAGCATTCACTTGACTCTGAAGGTGACTTTTGTTTTGAGAAACACCAGTCACCAATAGCATTTCTTTTCAGAACTACCCTCACCCAAATGATCACACTACAAAACCATTTTCTATGACAGGAGATAACGGTCAATTTGTTTGTCTCACAATGAATGTCACTTTGAGGTGCTGATTGCTGCATTATGACTGCAATTGTACCCATCTTCAGCATGCATTGAGGTTGATTGTTTGCGTATCACTTTTTGTAGGATGACATGTTGGTTTGCCGCTATTTGTGCATTTTGATCCACCCTGTTCCGACTGTTAGATGCTTTCTTATAGATCTGTTTTCCTAACAGCCAGCTGTTGTGCATCCTGTTGAGTAATGTGGTTCAACTTAGGGGGATGTTGTCATTAATACATACGGCTTGACTTTTACCAGCAGTTGCCTACCTGATTTTCCCAGTTTCCTTCAAGATGATACACATAGACTGCTCCAGAACGAGTTCCTATGGCAGCCAATGCTCCATGCATGGCCAAACATTCTCCTCGTTGAACACTGTTAGAATGTGGACCAATCAAAGAGAAGTTGTGAACAATGTTGCTGCCATCAGATTTATTCTCCCTAGAGAGCAGAAGATGAAAAAAAATGTTATGTGTTGCTTGGAATAATTTGTTAGCTAATGTGGGAAAGTGCCTGATCCAAAAGACAAAAAGCAAGAAATTATGAATGTTACACACCATGCAAAGAGTCCTTTAGAGTGAGTCAAGACCAAAGCTGTTTTTCCCCTGAGAACAGCACCTTGAACTCCAGGAGTCATTGGAAAGTAGCCCTGACCTCTTGTATCTGCTAGTTTAAGAGATGATAGAAGCTCCCCATGTTTAATGGACCTGTAAAGTTATCAGGGTAATGGTGCATTAATAGTTTTAATATCTACAGTAGAGTGAACGGTGCATTTAAATTCTAGATGGTGTGTGTCAAAAGAGGGGGATGGGTGTCCTAGTACTTGACATGACAGTCATAAAACAGCTTGCAAGGATGGGTGTCCAGGCAGCCACATGATCCCCACTTCTTAGAGAAAATTAAATCTGCAAATCTGCAAATCTTAATCAAAACAACATTTCAATGTGGTAAAACAGACAGAAATTTTGTCCCCAGACCTTTGCTTGATTTGCTTTGGTTTTGGCAGCGAAGCCATGAATACAAGTGGTGAAGCTGTGAGAGTATTAGTGATTCAAGTTGAGTTGAATTTGGGAATTTCACTTTTGGCTTTGCCACTCATGAATTCCCTAAAATAGGGGCTCTGCCATCAAAAATCACTGACTCATGAATCCCGCCAGCTATGCAGGCTACAGGCCTTCCAGAAAAATGGCACCTTAAGCCCAGTAGAAAGTTTTGATGCCCTGTTCTCAAATCTGACCTATCTACCTTGTTACTCACCACAAACCCAACTGAGTGTTATCAGTAACATAAAGTAGTGTATCATGTTGCCAAAGCCTCACATACTTCACCCAGTCACCTAGGTTACACAGTGTGTGAATACAATGACCCTAGAAGTTAAAATGGTGAAAACTTTCAGATAGAATCACTTCTCAATTCTGAAATATTTGACATCAACTACATTTTTTTTGTCGACCAAGGAAAGTGGGGCTTGAAAAAAGTGCCATCCAGTTGTCCTGGACTAACACCTTCCCAATGGGCAAGGGCCTCCAGGGGCAAGTTGTCTTTCAACTAAACAAAAAAAATAAGACTTGCCCAGGGCAAGCAAAATTTGAGAGCTCTTGTCTGAAGGGCAAGCTAGAATTCCAGGTTTTTTCAAGCCCTGGGAAATACAAAATTAAATACAAAGACACTAGCTACCACTTTAAACTTTCAAAAGATTGCTTCACTACTAAGAGACAAAAAGTCAACCAAACTGTAACAATATCCCAGACTCTAACAGAACAGTCATCAGATGCAGAGGCAGCAATATTCTCTATGACAGCGACACAATTAACACAAGCAGTATGGCCATGGCATGTTAGAGCTGCTGTGGTATTTGGTTTCTTCATGTTCCAAACTTTAACTGAGCAGTCCTTGGAACCTGATACAATGAGATCATGGGGGATATCTGTGTTGAGTGAAATACCTATGTAAAAAAGTAACAAAAAGAAAGTATGAATTGGAATTACGAAGTTAAATATATCAACTCTGACTCATCAACACTTAAACTGCTTGTCTGTAACTCAAAATATTAAGCGGCTTTGTATGCGTCTTGACTGACACTCTGTGACTAGGCAAGGTGAATCAAATCCTGCATTGCGATTGGCTATCTGAGTGGGCAAAATAGAGGTATCTTTGGTTACCCTCTTAAGATTGTGCACTATGTGCTGTGGGAAAAATGGAGTTTTCTATTCTCTATAACAGTATAAAAGATCCTTTCATTGTGACCAATCTTATTCGGTAAAGATGGCTGGATATTGGCCTTGCTCTTCTTTTGCACATGATTATGGACCTCAATTTTGTCTCAGTTCATTGAAGTGCAAAAACAAATAAACACAATAAATACAATAACAACTTACAATTAAAAAATAACTTTGTACTAACATTAACTGGGATTAACACTTGGTTACCTATTATTACAAGCCTTAGGTTTTTCAAGAATCTACATAAACCTGTTATCTGCCTCAGAGAGATTGAGAGAACAGCATCCAGATGCCCTGAAAGAACTGCAATACAATGACTTGACCAGCTGTCCCATATGCGAATGGTGCCATCATCTCCACAAGTTACAACTCGGTCTGCACCTGAGAATTTCACATCCCAAACTGGCCCTACACACCAAAGATAACATGCTGTTAATTTTTTCACCACAATCAACAGTATTGTTGCATAAATCACTACACTGCCATGGATACACGTTATTATTGGATGAAGTTCTTGGGATATCCAGAATAATCATGGGTGACGTAAGTGTTATCAGCTGATATCCCAAAGAGTTCCATCCATTATTATTGTTTATAATTACTCAGCTACTATCAGCGCATGAATAGCAATTATTTTAGAGTGCCTTCCAAGAGTAGCTAAGAGTTAGGATCCATGGGTGTTTCGGGGGAGGGGGGCAGGGGAGAGATTACAGGTGCACCAAAACACCTTGTGTCATAACTGAGCATCAGTCTACCATTCAGTAGAAACAACCCGGAGAAAATGATAACTTCCTGTTTGCACACCTCTGTGACCCTTAAGTCCTGTTATCATGGAAGGCCATTTTCTAATATGGCGGCTTCTAAACCACTTCTGATAAATAGCTTTCCAGTCAATACTACTGTTTTCTACTTGAATATTCTCTGCAGAGTCACTTAGTCTGCCTGGTGTTTCGTCAATATATCCACTTCCAGTTAATTCGATCAAAACATCCCCAGGAATATCTCTGAAGCAAGCCCGTCTCCAAAGTAGCTTGTATTTCGGCTGCGAGTGTAAAGACAGCCATGAACGGCAAACCTGCCGAGATTTAGCGAGAGAAATCGCATCTAGACGCTTCAGTATTTCGTCTATCAGTTCCAACGGCAGCTCGGTTAGGTTCATAGGTGAGGATTTAGTTCAGAGGGAGCAGTGCAACGCGACAGTCACTCTTGGTTCCGAGTATTTCTGATGTTTTCATCCTGTAAATACAACACTTGCATTCTGAAGCCAGTTATACTAGGCGGTACTAGGTGAATTAAACAACCTTTACATTGCAAGACAACCGCAAGACAACCACATTTTTTACAGTGCACAATACGGCAGTGATATGGTTAACCCAGTGACAACTGTGCGGTTGAGGTCGAATGTTGCCAGGCGCAATTCTGGGCGAGAAAAGGGACTGGATCGACAAAATTTGTTGCGTGGGGAGTGGTGGGAGGCGAGTGTGGGGAGGCTGGTGGAGAGAGAGGGAAAGCTTCTTTCCACTTCTATAGTGGAGTTAACCCAGAAATACCTAGAATCAATTGTTCTTTAATCTTAAACCAAGGGGTGGAAGAAGAAGGGGATCGATACTTGCCTAAAGCGCGTTTTTGACAAGATCAGCTCGATGTGGGTGTCATATGGCGCAGGCGCGTAGTCACGAGACCGAAAACAAACTTAGCGTGATTGTGTGATCAAAAGGGAGAACCTTTGTTCTTTCACGTAATACATCAGTCTTCTAGTCTTTATCATCCTTGCCCCTGTTTTCTTTTGGTTTATCATTAATGGTAGTTTTGTATGTTTCACCTAAGACCCCGTCTACACTAGGCCAGGAGAATTTGAAAACGGAAGTTTCACTCTGAAAACTCATCAAATGTTTTCCGTTCACACTACGCCTTCTGAATTTAAAAATGCAACAATCACCGGTCATTTTGGATTTGTGTTTGACGAAAACTCGGTCAGAAAAATCATGCGATTGTCGGAACGCCATCGCCTTCGAAAAGCTCCGTTTTCAAAATGTTTTCCGTCTACGCGAAAACAAAAAGCCAACGTTTTCGAATTCCTCCGGTTTGAAGAGCGTTTCCAAAAAGCTCCGTTTTCGTGACGGATTAGTGTGGACGGTAGGTCTAACCGGAGAAACACAGCTCCGTTTCCAAATTTCTCCGGCGTAATATGGACGCTGCCTAAGTGTGCTAAAATTTGGAAGATTCCCTTCAATTTATAGTACACCGCAAAAGAACTCTGGCAAAAGAATGAATTAACACATTGTGGCGAGTACGTATTGTACAAAGATCATCCAAGCACAAAAAAATACGCTACATAGCCTTACAAGACTTAAGTGATAAATACAAATTAAATGCAAGAAAGATGAACTATGAAAATAGCACAATTTTATTTATTTTACAAAATTATTTACTCTCTTTCATTTCTACAAAATATGATGACATTCCGAATTCCCTTAAGAATAGTCCTAAATTATAAAGAGTATAAATTCACTAAATTTTACGACCCGGCTGTGTATATATAGTCGTGCAAGCTGTAAATATCCAATAAACAAAAATAAATACTCTTGCCGGAAAATATATAGATATTAAAAGTTGCACTACCTGGGTACAATATAGCTATGAGTCAGACAGTGCTGGTCGCCCGTGATATGCGCGTGACTCGCTCTTTGCACTTGCCTCCATCTTAAATCTTTCCCGTAATTCGATTCTACAAAACTGTCCTTCCTCAAGGCTAACAATTTAGTTATTATTTTTTTCTATTTATCACTTGCCATAGCTACCACCAGGAAAAAAACTGCCCTGGTTTCTACAAAAAACCTCACAATATCAATGGTATTGTAGAGTACAGCCGGTTTGTGATCTCTCGTTCAGATTGACAAACGGCAGAAATTAAATTCAGTGCAGTATAGCGAAGTGCTGTAGAAAACGAACTAAATAGTTACTGATCTATTTTACACCACTGTTAACCTGTCATACACGAATATAATTTCTTTTTCTTGATCAGGAACAATAAGGGCTCTTTTTTGCTGACTCTCGATCAACGGGTCCTTCACGCAATGTATCAAAGAAAATATGAAAGCTCCAGTGACGGTCGGTACACCAGCGAGAAAAAACAAATTGCGATAGTGTCCTGTCACTTCACCTAACCACCCTGCAAAAGAAGCAAAAGCAAAATCGCGAGCATTAACAATGGAGATTCAGATGCTTTACAAGTTCTTTTTCTATGTGTTTAAAGGTTTTTTTTTCTACTTTGTGATTAATGGGAACAGCGGGGGCGGGTGGGTCTGAACTTCCCGTCTCCCGTAGACTTCCTGCCCCGTTTACTCCCGTGTTCCTACCCGCCCCCCTCCTCCCTTCATTTGAACAAATTAAACTTCTAGATCAACTGCTTTTAAGACCCATGACCCATTTAAGGCCTGTTTACGCAGGTGATTTTTGGTGCAATTTTTGTCGCGATTTTCCCTTCAATTGCGCTGCAATTACGATGATCTGTGAACGTCTTGAGCGCATCATCTAAAGAACTTCAATAAAATGCGATAAGTGTTGTTTAAGAGCATTTACACAACTCTTAGAAAGAAAAAGGATGATGGTAAGTTCAAAATCTCTGGCGATTTCACGCTGTACTGATCATGACCGAACCGCTCTGAGATCAAAGCCGGTTTGCAAGCCCGATTTGAAGTGCAACCTTAGCGGAACAAAATTTGCACTGGAATGCGGGACAAAAATTACAAGAAAAATCGCTAGTGTAAACGTACGAGCAAGCTTTACAACCTAGGAAGGCTGACTGGGTTAAGTTAAAGGAGCTCAGTCAAGGTATTTTTAGTTATCTGGGCCACTAACAAAATCACCTTTAAATTGAAGGAAACCTGAAAATAGTAGTTTACTAAGATAAAAAAACATCAAAGAGATAATAAACTCTAAAGGAACAAGGATGGCAAAGGATGAAGAAGAATAACACGGATTACAAACCAGGGAACTGAAAAAAATTAGCCTAAACTTTTCGAGATGCTAAAACCGTGTCGTAGCTCCTTTAACTTAAAATCAAAATTTTGTTCTCACCCGCCGCGGGAGCTCCGAGAAGCATAGAAAAGGACTGAATCATTAGGACTCCTCCCCAGGCTTCGGACATCTTGTCACGATCTGTACATTCGAACGTAACAATGGACATAAGCCCGATAATACAGCCATCCAACAGACCAAGGACAACCACATACACTACAAGCATATGATATCCTGCCGCAAAGATAGCAAGCAGAGGCGAGAGCCCGGAAAGAACCATACAGAAATTGTACAATCGCAAAGTATCTACAAAAGGAAGATCTGAGATTTTTCCGAAAATAATCTTTCCTACACCGGAGCCAATCCCTATGTAAGAAAGCAAGAGCGAGCCGTCGCGATGCGAGGAGCCCATCTCTTCAGCGTAACGTACCTGAAACAAAACCAAAAACAAACCAGGTGAAAATATGAACTGATTTATATCGAGAAATTTTATGTGTACAGTTGACAGTTTTCTCGCTTGATGGCAAATACTGCACTCAATGATTGCAAAAATATATAGCGGAAAATGATCGAGTTAGTGGCATAGCCTGAGAGGAATCAGGAGTAGGCAAGTCTCACTATTCTCGCATGCTCCGAGTCAATCAAAGCAGTTTGACATCTGGCCGGCCAGGACTTGCCTAGTTTCTAGGCCTCGCTGTTTCGCTGCGGTCAATCGTTTTCAGTTCACGAGGTCCAGGGAGTCGTACAGCCGTACAGGAACTAGTGTAAGAAAGGCCGGAACTAGGTATAAAAAAACAAAAAGGCTTCCAGTCCTTTAGCGATTTGCAACCATGGACGCTGATCAAATTTGAGGATGAAGCTGAGCTTGTAAGCTACACCAATACATCATTAGTGTACTTCATACATAATATATAACTAGTGTACTTTGTACTTACCTCACCTCATGTATTATATTGTTCACTGAAAAACCTTTTAAGGAGTGTACAATAAAATTTTATCTTATCCTATCTTATAAATATGCAATTATGGTTTCTTTGCTTTTGGTTTTAATGACACTCGATATTGACAATGGCTCTAATGAATAAGAGAATACCAACTTACCAAATGAACATGTGGAATAAAATAGCCAAACGTTGCGATAGTCGAAGCTACAGCCCAGATAATGAACCAATTATTTCTTGGGAAACTTAAACCCCTTTTCTTCAAAGACTTTGCCTCGATTATCTCGGAATTCTTGGCGAATTTGTGTTTACCAGTCTTTTTCTCCTCCAAGGGCTTAAACAACATCCCACAAATAGATATTAAAAGAGCGAGCCCGCTCAAAAACCGATAGCAGTTTCTCCAACCAAACGAGTCCACGACGACCTGCTGCAGCGGCGCGAGTCCGAGAGCTCCTAAGTTACTACCAGATGTCGCTACTCCAGTAGCAAAAGATCGCTTCTTGTCGAAATAGAAGGCCACCATAACAAGCGCTGGCAGATAGCTGATACTTGTGCCAAATCCAACGATGACACCGTGCGTGAGATAAATTTGCGTTAAACTGTTCGCGAAGGACGACAGTAAAAGACCTAGGCTGGTTATCAGACCTCCAACGATTACAACACGTCTACAGCCAAACCGCTCGCTCAAGAGGCTGCCGGGATAGCAGAAGAAGAAGAGACAAAATTGCGCGATGGAACCCACCCATGCTGTGGAAAAAATACCAGATAATTTTAGAACTATGATCAGTAAAGATTAGTTGCTAATGGTTTGAAAAGACAATTAGGGGAACGAAGGTTTGAATCATCCCTGAAAGGTAAGAAGCCCGGGTAGGGGATGGGGGGGGGGGGGCTCCCATATGAAAAGGTCGGGGATGCTACCCCTAAAGGAGACGAATCTGAGCGTGGCTCAGCTTCATTTTGATCCCTATTAACTAAAAAGATACCACTTTAAACGGAATAGGTTCGATTACCAGCTGCTGTTCAGGAAAAGGTCGAAACTAAATAAACTGCAAAGCCGTGAACGAAGATCCCGCTTGATTGAACGTTAGATCTCACAGGAGATCTAATCAGCCAAACGTGAAAAGTAAAACGATGAGAAGTCAAAGACTACTGCAAGGTTGACAGAAAGTGGTATATTTTGTAAAACAATATTTCGGCTGACCAGACCAGTCTTCTTCAGGTTTAGATGTTACTTTATTATAAAAATGAAATTACAATATTATATAATGGTGGATGTCGTAATACATACTTCGAAACTAAAGGGAGTGGCGGAAATGACGAAAAAGAAAAAAAAAACTAAATAAAGTGGGGCCAAAACAAGTCTACGTAGGTTACAAGTAAGCGCTGGGAGACCGGACTCGAGAGACCGGCGCCGGCAGAAATTGATCCCAAAAAACGGAAATGAGAGCCTTTCTCTACTTCTATTATTATTATTTTTCTTTGAGTGTACCCTAAGACACTTTGACAGCTAAAAATACTAGCGTTTCGTTCAAAAGGTCATTTAAGATATTTAAATTATTAACTTCAGGTTGATAATACCAGTGTTTCACTTGCTCGTGGTTTCCGGCATTACTTCCCCTGCGATCAGGCGTTCTTTTCTTTTTTTCGGCGAACGGGAAACGTCTGATCGCAGGTTTAGTTAGGCTCCACTGAATTGACTGAATGCCAGGTATTAGAAATCGCACTCGTATTCAGTGATGCATGATGACAGTTTGAAGTGCAAAACATACCCAATTGTCAAGTAATATAAGTGTTTTTCCAAAAACTGTGGGCATGTAAATGAAAAATTCCGCCTTTTCACCTTTTGTAACAAAACTGTCGGAAAACCAACTATAATTCAGCGCAGTCGTCTACTAGACGATAAACAGAAGAAAAGTCTACGGATATATCTACCTCGTTCCCAGGTTCTCATCTCCCCGCCCTCGGACTGCCGGATATATATCTTCAGTTGTCATCAATGCTGTTGACCTTTGCTTCGGGACTTCAATTGAGCCGACGGAAATGCGTCCCTTTTTGTGAGCCTACACTTTGCTTATTATCTGATGCGACTTCGAACACGCTAACCTTGGCCTTACGTGATTCATGTCCGTTTATATATTTTTTTTGTATTAGCATTCACGTAAATCTACCAAACAAGAGAGTGGAATCGTGGTCAAACAATGCTATTATGTGACAAATATGTTTTTTTTTTTTAAAAAAAGCTCTTCTGTTTAAGTCTAAACAACGGACGACGAGTGTAAAGTAGCATCAATGATATCGGACCATATTGATATAAACAAAAAGATACCATTTAAAAGCGACGAGCAGATTGTTCATTAAAGTTATGTTTGTTTCTGCACGGAATGTAATTCATATGCAAATCTGCGCGATGAAGCAATATTTCTCTAGTGCCGAATTTGTTATGCTTTGTAAGCGCTCAAAAACCACAATTTGACTACGCATGATAACGATTTTTTGACGGCTGAGGAGTCAAAACTTAGTACAAAGCTCCATTCAAGACCATAAAATTGCGGGAATTTGGGAAATCAGCGCGCGCGATGTCGCTTGTTTAAGTCCCCGGGGGTACTCCATTATATGGACTATATAGGTCCACTACCCCAAGGGGTAGGGTTTTTCAGCCATTTTGGCTATATAGATATGTTCGGCCCCCAAGGGTAGGGTTTTTCAGCCGTTTTGGTCATAAATAGGGTATCAATTTTGGCCATTTTGGTTATAAATAGGGTATGGTTTTTGCACTCTGGTCTTGAATTGAGTATGTTTCTTAGAAGAAGCTACTTTTTCATCATTATCAATAAGACCGTCACCAAAAGCCCTTCATAAGTCATGTTTAGGGCAACTGGATCAGCTGCAACGGTCGTAAGTAGGTTATCGAATTTTTGGTCAGGTCATAAATAGGGTAGCAAAAAACGACGATTTTGGTCATAAACAGGGCAAGGGTTTTGGGAAGTGGGCCACATACCCCTACACAACTTTTCTGGAACTACCCCCCAGGATTAAAGTCAAATTCGCGGTCTTGCTATTTAAACGAATTGAAGAGTTACGAGAGATGGACAGATTGATCTGAGAGAATATTAATACGTACTAATAGCTCACTTCGGTAAACAACAAATTTCAAATGTACTTTGTACCTGTGTTTGCTTTCGATTCTTTGAAGTGGTCTAGCAAGGCCGCGTATAGGACTCCCACGGTATAGTGCATTCCTAGAACAACAAACAAATCGCAGAATGCGGCACCACATACAACCCAGGCCCAGCCGACATCTTTCTCTGTAACCTCGGCATCTTTGGCTGAAGGAAACTCGGAATTTGTCGGCTCACACTCGATGATTTCCGATCTCGAAGTACTTGGATCTGTGTCGGGCGGTAGTAGTTTGCTGTCGTATAAATCATCCTCGTCGTTCATTTCTGCTGGATTCGACGAAGCCGCTGTTTATAAAAGAGATCGCACTGTAACATGCCTCACATATTCCCCTTAAGAGAATAGCAGTGTCATTCAATCCGTACTGTACCGACAGTTGACGTAATTCGCCGGTTAAATAACCAGAATAACAAACTTATAATCCGTACGGTTTCACCGTCCGCTGCATGACCCCAGTATTGATAGGTTCAACGCAAAATAAATTCACTTGAACACACACGTCGCGAAACGGGTCACTTTTGTGCGAGTAGCTGTCATTAGCAGTTCGCATATAACTGCTGACGTTTTTTCCTGTGAATTTGTGAACTTTTTTTCCGTCCTTGTTCCGATGTTAACCTTGTCACAACGAGAGAAGCTGATTCCGGGTTGACTCTCACGTCACAGAGCTTATATTTGCATGTCGCATGCTCAGCGCATGACTACTTTGCATATTATCAGCTATTTATGAAAATTCTTGGGCGCAATACAATAAAAAGAAGCTCATTTTGCCGCCCAGCGAAACACTAGCTTTTACAATAGCCCTCATAAGTTCAAAACCCATTCTTCTAGGACATAGGTTCTCCATTACCTGAGACACTGTCAGTAACAAATGTGAAACGTTCCGTGCCATAATCAGCGATCAGGCGTACTCGCAAAAAACGAACGCCTTATCCGGTGGAGGTTAAGTACTCTTGACATATTACATCAAACATTTGACCACATTTCCAAACACCGAGAAGAGAGGTGAAAATATGACGCGCAGCAGTAAATTTTTGACGAACTTCGAAGTGTTCAAAAATGTAGTCAAACACTGTTTTGAGTGTTTGATGTTTCTTCTCAATCGAAACTAAAACTATGGGAAAACGGAGAAATAAAATCAAGACTAGTGATCAAACACTGTCACGGCCATGATTTTGATGAATTATTATTGAGTTTGACAACACTCTATCAGTCTTATCTCGATTTCAGCCTAAAAAAAGCGCTAAATCAAATCTTTGCCCCTAAAATTACTCTGTTGCCGGTTGTATAATTAAAGTTTTTTTCAACATAACTGTGCCGCCAGTTTTAAAATAAATTCTTACAGCGTGGGGGACAAAAAAATGGCAAGACACATCCCTGACGCACAACAGTTACCAACACAGCATGTAAAGTTTGAATAGAAGCATTTGATGACGTCTTAAAACAATGCGTTGCGGGATGCCATATGCCCTCAAAATCTGCCAGAGACTGTTCCCGTGGATGCTATCAAACGCTTTCTCATAGTCGATGAAATTTATATACAGCTGCCTGTTCCACTCAGTACATTGCTCTAGTATATTCCGGGAGTGTAAAAATTTGTTCCCTACACCCACGCCCTTTACGAAATCCAGCTTGTTCATTTCGCAAGATGTCATCAACAGCTCTGGTGATGCGCTGCAAAACATTTTACTCGGCACAGACAGAAGGGTAATTCCCCGCCAGCTGTTACAATAATCTAAAGACCCCTTCTTTGGTATCTTTGTTGTGACTCCTCTTGTCCAAGCCAGTGGAATTTCTTCCAGCTCCCATATTTTTGCGAATAAGGGGATTAGAATAGTGGCAACAAGCTCAGGGTGTGTTTTAAACAGTTCAACATTCAAGTTATCATGGCCGGGAGCTTTTCCATTCTTCAGGGATTTTATGGCTTGGATGACTTCCCTCCAGGCTGGGGCATCAGTGTTAACATCAAAGTCGGTTATGGCCTCCAAGATGTTTGGAAAGAAAGTACTCGAACATTTTTTACCGGACTTCGGACCTCCTGCTTTTGGAAACCATTCAGATCAGATGAGGTTATGTTTGCTTAGTGCTGTGCCGTTGCAGTGTAACAGTTTGAGACAAAATTAAGAACTAGCTTCAGACAGTTATGTCATAAAAACAGTTTCGTCTTCCCTCCTTCGACCAAGACATTTTCCTTTCATCCTACCCCTCTCTTTACAGACTTTGCGACATACAGGCTCCACCCTCCCCACCCTCTAATTTTCCCGCTATAATTATTACACCGTATTTTCTAAGTAATTGGACCGGACAAAGTTTTCATTGATAAACAACTCAGAAACTATATCTGTCATACAGCAACAACAACAACAACAACAACAACAACAACAAAACAACAACGACAACAAGAACACCAACAACGAAAACGACAACATCTTTATTTCTCAATACATATAAATATAACATTTTTTAGTCAATTTATTATATGAAGCAGGTTTCAGGTAACTGTTGCAACCTTCAAAATTTAAAAACGTTCTCTGTTTAAAATAGTTTCATATTACCAGAGCTTTCGATTACCATTCTGCAATCTTTGACAAATAGGGACTTGCAATCGAAAGCTCTAGTAATTTTAAACTATTTTAAACGGGGAACGTTTTTAAATTTTGAATATGTCCTATCCTGGCCTGGTTACTCGTTCATTTTTTAAATATATAGTAAAGCTAAGGGAAAACCGTGCATAAATAGATAAATAAGTAAATAAATAAATAACCAATTCGGATATTGGTCTGACAATAAACCGTGTATTATTGTTATTGAAAAAGCAAATACTCTAAGTTCTTTGGAATGGGTTTGAAACCCTTTCCAAAGAGCTATTGCCTGAAAAGAAATAATCTGTTTTCCTATATTAGTCCTTTTGCGTTACTGCTGCGGAATAAACTTGAAGCTCATATAATTAAACTCAGAATAACTAATTTTTTGGGGTACCAATATCTTGCTGTTCGTTTTTTAATCGGTAAGTACTGATCATACATGTTAAGTTATAAAATATTGTTTGGAGTACATAATATACATTTTTTTCAAGATAGCTATAAACTTAACGAGTTACGCAATTTTTTCTCAAGACAATAGATAACAGGTTGTTCCTTACGCAAGTAAACATAACAATAACACAATATTTACCATCGCCCTAGCATTGTTTACATCTCAAATTTGCAATTGAAATTTTTTTCTAACTCAGTAGATCTGACACGTACTACACAGAGGAATTCACGATCATCGTATCAATTCAAATTTTGCTTAGATATTTATAAGGCATTGAAACTTTTTTTACATAACAATTGTTTTTTTTATAAACGTTAGGCATTGAAACTTTCAACATTTACAGAGTGACAAACTTCTGTTTTCTCTAAATTTTATCAAGTAAACATGTTATTTGCTCTTGATATTACTAAGCAGGTGTAAATTTTACGTTTTGTCAACAGAACATATTTTGTTCAGCGAATTCTTTTGTTGCATAAGAATATTGCTATTCCCGGGCTAAAATATTCTTGTGAATATTCTTAGATTATAGCGTATTTTCGCTTTATGTATTGACTTTGAGGGGGTTGAAGTAATTTTAGAGCCAGTCATACTGCAGGTAATAAAGTTTGAAATGACACGGCATAACTTCTTTCAGAAATGTTATGCGGTACCGAACATATACGGCTATAGTGCTATTTCTGTTGCTTTTTGGCCAGTTTTGCCGTTTAGAGAAAGACAGAATATTGATGCCGTTTAGTAAAAACATATAATTGTCATAATTACAAATTTTCACCGTGTAGATTTAAAACTATCACGTGATAGAAATCGAGAGCGAATAATAGAAAAAGGGCTGTATGTAACCTGTTCTTGGAGAGACTGGTTTGCTGTAATAAGCTTTCCCTTCAACACTTCCGTGTACCCTATTTTTTCTCTAGCTTTTTTTCTGTGCTGCTCTAAACAATCAAACGCCTCTAACAGATTACTAAATATTATGCATGTAAATTTCACTTTTCCAATTTAATTTAAAGTTAAAACCGCCGTTAAACTTGAAATCCCCTAAGGAGCAACATCTAATTACGATAAAAACAAAGTGTTTTAGGAGGAGAAGAACGTCTCAGCTGCGTGTAAAAATCTACGTATAGCTTTTATTTGTTTGAAAATTGGGCAGCCAAATTGGTGTGAATTAGAGACGGTAAAAAGTTGGAACGGAATTGCGTGACGACCCATGATCATGACTGGCAGCGCTCTCAGAGCCGAGGAAACAAGGAAAATAACTCTTGAAAACTTGTTACGAGATGCCTAACATGCCATTTTTTACTCATAAATAATACAATTCCATGTTGTCGCGACCGAATTTCCCTAATTTTTAAACGAAATAATTAAAATATATTGAAGTTTGAGAGTTGGACACAGTGGCCAGACAGTGGCAGATGTTCTGAGGGCTCCAACGGTGGTCAAGGCAACTGCCAATCAAACTTGAGAGCTGTCATTGGCATGCAGTTGCGCCAAACCTTCTGGGATTTCTGTTTGCAAGACAGAACCGGTCAAAGTACTTGTGGTAATAGCATATATTAATCGCGCTTTTTCGAGCCTTGAGTAAGCTGATGTAGTTTACTTCACTATCCGCCCTTTCCATAAGGGCGGAAGAACGAACAAAACAGGTATTCTTCGCGCAAAAATGACGGGCGACCGAACCTACAAACCTAGAAGCAGGTGGCGAACCTTTCGACTGACGTCTCATCGACTAGGTATCATCTTGATAGTTCTCAGCTTGGTTTGGGGGATGTATTTAATCCAACTACAGCTCAACGACAGACGATCGCAATCTGAATACTTAAAGCAGAAGATAATAGCGCTATCGAAGGAGTATATAGATGCCATCGCCAAGGAAAAAGGGTTGTATACAAATGGACTTGGAGATTCAGACAATGGTAAATAAGAAATATTATGCCTGACTTCCTGTATTTTGTTAGCTAAAGTTCCTTAGCGCCCGTACAATTTACAAATTCTAGCAAATTTCCCTGTATTTTGGTCTTAACAGTGTTCCAGTGTTTACAATTTTGCTGTATGTTCGTCATCTACATCGATTTTCGTCGTTCCTTAACAGTTGTCTTTTTGTACATGTCTGCAGTAAATTGTTATGCCTATGAAAACAGCCGAAAGTGAATGCAAAGACTCCCGTTTATTTACTGTTCGACTTTGTCTTGATCTGACAGTTAGTTTCAGGGATATTTTTATGTGGAATTTGTTTCTATCACAACCCTTTTTCATTTATTTTTCGTTGCATGACCTTGCTTTGCGTACAAAGGATACGGTTTATTAACTTAAATTAAGCCCTAGAGATTTATAAATTTCTGGTTGGACATGCTCAGCTTCAGGTAAGTTTTCAGCCCTGATCTTTAGTTTTAGGATGTCATTTTATAATATCGCGAGTTCCGCATGGATTGTATGCAGATTTATGTTATTTCATACTTTATTTCACATGGAAAAGTGACTTCTGAAAAACATATTAATTTTCATGTTTTGAAGAAGACTGCTAAGCCGTTTGTGACGCCAATATTACGTGCCATTTTGAGGAGAATTGGGTGATGAACAACAGCAAAAGTTGTGGACACTTTCATCTTGTTTGATAATAAGAAC